GGCCTCCCAATCCTTGAGTGTGTTTACTGTATAGCATGTGCCCGTTGGGCCTGGAAACGCTGTCTCCACACTGCAGGCCATGACAGCGAGACTTGGGGGTTTGCCACCGCTGAAGAATTCGAACCTGTACCCAGGCTCTGCCGCTACATACTTTCTGTTTATGAAGATGATCTTCGGCATCCTCTGTGGGAACCTTCGGGTGGCTATGGGATTAATCCAGATTTGATAATCCTGAAACGAACTTACGAACATACACTAGGACGAGCACCTCCTTATCAGTTGTATCTCGATCATGATCATGCTGATATAGTTCTTGCCATTAGAGGCCTTAATTTGGCCAAGGAGAGTGATTATGCTGTTCTCTTGGATAACAAGTTGGGAATGAAAAAGCTTGATGGAGGGTACGTGCATAATGGCTTGTTAAAAGCTGCCGGACGGGTATTAGATGCGGAGTGTGATATTCTGAAAAAACTGGTTCAGGATTATCCAAATTATACTCTAACATTCGCAGGACATTCTCTTGGGGCAGGCGTGGCGGCACTTTTGACGATGTTGGTGGTGCAAAATCTTGATAGGTTGGGAAATATTGAGAGGAAGAGGATAAGGTGTTATGCTATGGCACCTGCTAGATGCATGTCACTAAACTTGGCAGTGAGGTATGCAGACGTCATCAATTCTGTTGTGCTTCAGGCAAGTTCCTAAATATTTCTCACCGCCTTTCATGTTTATTTTCAAGCTACTAAGTGAATGCAAACATGCTGCCATGGTCAAGAAAGTATGCAAATAGTCCCTGAATTCGAGGTTTTCACTATTTTACTCATGACAAGCCTTTAAGTTTACATTTCACCAAATCAGATGCATGGAAGTTGAATTGTATAGAATATGTCTTGTATGTTGGTTAGTTGAAATTCTACTTTACCACTTCTAGCATGTGAAAAACCATATGCTTAACAATTTCTTTATCCCCCTGGTAGAATGGGGAAATCTAATCCAAGTGGTTAACCAGTTGCACTAGTTTTGTCAAGGCAAAGGCATAGGATCTTGGTCTGCATTTCCTTTTCTCTGCTTTTACCCTTATGCTCTTCTTTGACTGCATACTACTTCCATTGATTAATGCCATTTACATTTTAAGCTTGCAGGAATTTCAGTTTTAAGCCCTCTATAGTGTATACTGTAGTAAGAGTTTGGAAGTAATACTGCCAACTGCTTTCTATGTTTTTCAGTTTCTTTTTCGAAAATACACTGATGACATGTGCATCACAGCTAATAATGAGTCTCTTTGCTGTAATAGGATGACTTTTTGCCTCGTACAGCCACCCCATTGGAAGATATATTCAAGTCACTTTTCTGGTAAAGACCATCTTCAAGCTTTGCACTTCCTGTTGCTACTGCACCGGGAAGTTAATGCAAAAATGGGCAAAATATTAAACAGATCACAAACACTATAATTTGCAATTCATTTTTGGGATTTATAATAAAACAGATGGGCAAAGTACCTTAAAGCTTTCAATTTTAATCTAATTTTTGCCTTTATTCCTATTTTTTTTCTAATTAGAGTCCATAAAAGTAGTTGGCTCACTCAAAGGTATGACATGCTCTATTCTTTTGTATATGGTATCAAAAGATTTTGCTTTGCCATGTCATCAGATGTCAACTTTAGTTTATTTCAAGCCTTATTATCTTACTGTTTTTTCTTTACAATTTGGACAGTTTGCCATGCCTATTGTGCCTAAGGTGCATGAGAGATACATGCATATCAGAGGAGAAGATGCTCAAAGATCCAAGGAGACTTTATGCACCTGGTCGCCTTTATCACATTGTGGAGAGAAAGCCTTTTAGGTAAGCCTACAAAAAATTAATTCACCATTACCATGGTCATCAATCATTCTCTTGAAAATCATCAGTGGTTTTTAGATGTCGCACTATGGGTTATTGGAATTGTAATATCTCATTATATTCCGCTACTACAAAGTAGTATCATGAAGAAACATTGAATAATGAAAGGTCTTACAGATTTTTTTGAAGTTATAGATATAATAAGCAAATATTAAACAGGTTGAGTAATAAGCTAATATTGCAAACATTGAATAATGAAAGATCTTACAGATTTTTTTGAAGTTATAGATATAATAAGCTAATATTAAACAGGTTGAGTAATAAGCTAATATTGCAAAGACTTCAACTCTGATATCTATGCACCTTGAAGATGGTGGGGAATCGAACTGGAATGTGCCTTAATAATACCTAACTGATCAAATCAAATATAAGGACCCATACTTCCTTCTTATCCCTTCTTGTACTGCAGCCATTACAAACTTTTAGCTTCGCAAGGAGGCTTTTGATCAATTTGTGTTTTTATTTTTATCAGTTGCTTTCTTCCAATTGCTAATCTGAACTTGTTCTCCTGCTAAACAAAGAGTGACTGAGTCATGATTCGTGTGAAGAAGTAGAAAATGGCATATGCGTCTGGTAATTGTGTATAAATCTATGGAATGGTGGAGAATATCAGTTGTAATCATTCTTTATACATTTGTTGTTGTCAGGTGTGGAAGGTATCCTCCAGTTGTCAGAACTGCAGTGCCTGTGGATGGGAGATTTGAGCACATAGTTCTATCATGTAATGCCACGTCAGACCACGCCATCATTTGGATAGAGAGAGAATCCAGTAGGGCCCTGGAGGTGAGTTACTTTCAATTTTATACTTTCATCTATTGCCAGTGAGTGAAGGCCTACCAGTATTCTATTATATAATGTTTGATTTTGATTGTGAAAATCAAATAATTTGTTTACCAAGGAGTACACTAATTTTCCATGTAAGAGCTCAAGATTCCTTCCCAACTTCTGAGTCAAGCTGGTTTTTAGTCTAACCAGTTAATACAAATGCTTTGTCTGTAAGTTGAACATTACAAGACATCTTTCAACGATTTCATCATTTCTTCTTTGGAGTCAAATTATTATTCTTGGACTGGTAATTGTGTTATTCTGAGCCCTTTAAATTTCCTTTTCTTTCTTTTATTTGTTGGTCCAAATTCTTGAAGTTGTTGAGCTTAAAGAAAGCATGATACTGATTTGTATGTCATGGTACCTTCCTCCTTTTCCTTCTTCACATGATAGACCTGAATCATTGATTGGACCAACCTATTGCCTTACCATGCCACAGCTAATGATTGAGAAAGATCATAGTCTGGACATCCCACCAAGACAAAAGATGGAGCAACAGGAGTCGATTGCGCGAGAGCATAGCGAGGAGCACAAGGCAGCTCTAAGGAGGGCTGTAACATTGGCTGTTCCTCATGCCTTTTCCCCTTCACAATATGGGACATTCCAAGATGAAGAGGGTAGACAATCCCACAGCACAGGTGGTGATTCTTCTTCTGGTTCATCAAACAGAAGCAAGGCAAAAGAAAGCTGGGATGAACTGATTGAGCGTCTGTTTGAGAAAGATGACCAAGGTCACATGTTACTGAAAAAGCCACTCACTGATGACTCAAGTATGTAACATTATGATTGCAGCCTTTCCCGTGGTGATTTGGTGGACCCCTTTTGTCCATCTCAGAAGGAAGTCTGTGCAAAAAGGATGTTATTACTCTCGAGCTCTTCCATACAAGACACTAATTCCTTTATCCAAGAAGAGTGGCTTTTGCTGCAGAGGTGAATGAGATGACAAACTCTTATCAGCATCGGATATTGATGGTGTTGCGGGGCTGTGCACGACATTTTTTTCGATTAAAGTTTAGTAAGTTTGTACTGTGAATGCATGCAGGAGATAGAACGACGTGTATATCTTGGCATTCTTTGATGCATTAGGCGGAAGCCGCTATTGTGAATATAATATATATGTGCATCCGCATAAAAGAGTTGTCTGATTTGTGTACAAGTAAAGGTGCTATGATGTCTTTGGATTTGGCCCATTGGGCTTTGTTCATTGGCCCGAACTGCTTTAGCGTTGAGCTGGCATTGAGAAAGGCCTTATGCGCGTCAAATTGCAGCCTATTTTCTGGACGGCAACACAGCACGCCTTATTTGTACCAATATTTTGCTTAATTGTACTCCCCAAATCACCCAAAAAATAAAATAAAATATAACATAATAAACTTAAGCAGTCAATTTTATTGATGCCAAAATGTGGCTCAAGCAGTCAATTGTAAACATAAACTTTTTCCATTCCATATGTTTGTTTTAAGTGGATGAGAGAGGCAAAGAATCAATCTCCCATTCTATTCGATCTCTGGGCCTTAATGGGCGTTTAGCATGGCTCTGGGCTTAATGGGCTTATATAGTTTCGCATGCCGGAGCCCAGATACTACCAAAAATGACTCCTAATTGCACGATGAAACTTGTCATTGCCGAGCCATTACATACAGGTTTGGAAATTATTGTTTGCTAAAACGTTAGCACCTGAAAGTGACTAATAATCTGCATTCCTTTTGTTATATGTTAGCTCATAATTTTAAAAAAAAAATTTTTTTTTTTTTTGGTTGGTCCATAATTTGGACCAGGCAGCCGGAATTTGGTTCTCAGGCTGCCAAGAGAAAAGAGTTAAAACCAAGCATAATCCCCTTTTTTTTTCCAATTAAAAAAAGAAAACCTATTTCGTACCAAATGACCAGACAAGAGGGTGGGGAATTAATATGATTACCGCTGGACCCATAATTTAAATCATCATTTTCTTATATTCTCTTTCCATTTTCCCATGATTTAGAGGTTGCGCAGAATAATAAGAAGAGTGAAGCATCATCATTCTCTCCACTCTCGAGTCTCGGCCGTGTTCAAATTCAAGAATGGCAGCTCCAGAGGGCTGGAATTAGTAATGCTTTTGTCTCAACATTTGAACTCAAGCTGCTGAAGCGATTCTTCGATTTTTTTTCTCCCCAAGTTTCTGTCATATGCTTCGATCCCCGTCATTCATGGGGACTTATTCGTCAATTTTCCTCGTTCTCCTCCTTTCGTGGTGCCCTTTTGCAGCAGAAGCGTAAGTAACGCGTTTAATTCTCTTCTTGTTGAGCTTTAGCTCGATTGGGGACGGACTAATTCACTATTTGGTTGGTAGCATCTTGACTGTAATTAGTGTTTTGCCATTGGTTTTTTGCTAGTTCAATTTTTTTCTCTCCACTCTAATGATTCGAGTTTGCGTGAAGATGCCCATGTTCAACATTTCAGTGGTCCTCTGTAACTAATATTCTTGTCTTGTTGTGTCATTCATGGAACGTGTGGACTGTTAACAGTGTAGAATTTGAGGGGCAGGATCGGTTCTTTTTGCCTCAGCTGTTTCATGTGGTAGGATTGTTGAAGGGATTGTAGTTTTTGTTCGAGATAAGCTGGTATTACTTCTCAGAACTTCACTCAAGTTAGGATGAAGAGCAGAGAATGAGGCAGTTTCGAAATGAGCTTAGATTAATCTGTTTGGCAAGGGTGAAGCTAAGTTTGAAAGTGAAAAAAATGTGTAGGAAGCTGGATTTGCGCTCTAAAGCTCACTAGAACCCCTTGGTGGAAAGGGACGTGATCAGAAACCAAGAAGAAATTTGAAGATCTTAACTTTATCCATTTGCTTTATTATCAAGTGTTTAAGAAAGTTTTTGGGGCAACATGTTATCCTTCGGGCAAAAAACTTGTACACGAAAGGAAAAAATGTATCAAAACAGGTAAATCAAGATATCGTTTTCTTTGCCTTCGAGACTATCCGAATCTCTGTCTTTCATTCCTTTTTTTTGTTTTGGCTTCTTTTTTTTGTCTTTGGTTGGAAATGGTTTCCATCAGGTATAATATCTTAAACATGATGGCTGTAGGATTAAAAATGTACTCTAATCCAAGGGGATGGCTGTCCTTGGTTAGCTGCTGTAGACATAATCACCCAAATTCTCATTGTTTCAAGACTATTAAACTAGAAAGAGACTCTTTTTACTAGTCCTTGATACAAGTGTTATATCTTGCAGTTCAGTGACCAATAGTTCATTTGTGAAATTATATAGGCTTCTGGGATTTCTTTCTCCACAAATATATTGTCTTATCGAACTATAGTTCTGTATAATAGCTTAAGGATTACATCATGTTTCTTTCTCATGGTTTTGGAAATTGATATTTTCTTATTGACAGGTGAAATGAAAACTACTTATCATGTCATTTTTCTGCCTAATGAACTTATGATACGGTACTGCTCTCTGTTGGAAGAAAAATATCTGAAAAGCGTATAAAACTTGATATATAGCACTGCTTCCTGATAATACAAAAACGTTCTGGAAATATTTAGTATAAGCCTATATATTCTTGCGTTTGTTGTTGCTTAGGCATTCTCATCTGTTTCAGTAGTCGGAAGGAATTGAGGACCAAGGAGGTGCAGCGACAACAAATTAGCCAAATTGACCTTCCAGGACGGCTTGGTGTTATTGATCCAACACGAGTTACTCAAGTAGCCTGGCGACCAAGGTCGGGTAGCCTGATGGATCAATGAGTATTTGCTTCTCTTACTTGGCTTTCAGATAATGAAACAATTAACTTCTAGAATTCCCCATGACCAACTCAGGAAGAGCTATTGTTCTAGCACGTGGATCTGTGCAGAATAACAGTTGTACAGATGACAGTATAGGTTTCCAAGAGGAATCTGTGTATTGCATGAGTAGTTAAAAAGAAGTTACCGTGTATCAGAAAATAATTGATTTTTTTTTTCTGGTCTCAGGGTCTTTATGTATAGAAACTTTGTATCAGAGGAGGAGTGTGACCATCTGATTTCTTGGGTAAATTCCATTCCCTCTCTGTTTCATGGCATTTTCCTGATTAGCTATTTTAACTGATGTGTCTTTGTTTTAGGTGCAAGGAAAGAAAAGTAATTCTGTCGTTGATGGTGATTTGAAGGAGACAGATAATCTTCCTTCCAAATCAATCATGCCATTAAGTATTGAGGTGAGTTTTTTGCTTCCAAGATAAGGACTCATTTGCCTGCCTCTGGAATAAGCCCGCATGTAACTGTCTGTTTCTTGCTTAGCTATTCAGAAGGGGCTTGCCGCTGTTCAAACATACTGTACCTTTTCTTCTTGATGATGAACTTACATAATCTTGCCATCATATGAACATACTGTATATAGTTGATGCATGAACCTGTGTATTAATCAGTCAACATATGCACACTTTAGTCTAAAGTGGAAAAAATTGGCTAGGAAGGTAATCTTTGTAGTCTCACTTGTGGCTTGCAACTCTTTTGTGTGTGTAGTCTGTTGTAACTGCTGGAAGTGCACAGGTTGGAAGAATCTTGGATCTTGCACCTTTAGCTTTTTCCTTTGTTTTTCTTAATCAAACTCACATTAATGGATGAAAAACCTGTTTATTGAAAACTACAAAAACTGTAACTGGTTAAACTGTATTGGAAAGTAAAAGCAAATAGACTCTTTTGTGTAATTTCAAAAATGCTTGAAATCCTGTTGGCAATATTCGGGGAACAGATTGGTGATTTCTGTTGAAAGATACTTCTCATTAGTTATGATCTTTGTGGCTATCAGGATCAAGTTGTTGCAAGAATTGAGGAAAGAATTTCAGCTTGGACTTTTATTCCCAAAGGTGATTTTCCCTCGCTTGAAGCTGTGCTTCCTGAAACTGTTTCTCTTCTTTGCGATCCACCTCTGTTTGTTGCTTGCTCTAATTACTTCTACTCTTTCAGAAAATGGCAGGCCTTTACAGGTTTTGCATTTTGACAGTGAAGAACCTAAACAGAATCATGATTACTTGGGTAAGGAATATAAGGTGCTACCCAATGAACCTTTGATGGCAACAGTTGTTTTGTATCTCTCAAATGCCTCTCAGGGTGGCCATATTCTCTTTCCCGAGTCAGAAGTAAGAAAGAAACAACATTGATTTGAAAATTAGGCCATTTTTGAGTTATTGCTTGCAAGTTGTGGAATATAACAGACATTTTGGACAACTCTCACGCAGAATGAGATCTTGTCGGACTGTACAATGAGTAATATGGCTTTGAAACCAACAAAAGGAAATGCAGTTGTTTTCTTCAGTGTACATCTCAATGGGTCAGCTGACAACAGCAGTCGGCATGCCAGATGCCCCATTCTTGACGGAGACATGTGGTGCGCAACCAAATTCTTCCATCTGAGAGCCATAAGAGGGAAGAAGGAACCTCTACATTTAGATGACACTGATTGTATGGATGAAGATGAAAATTGTCCTCATTGGGCTGCCACTGGGGAGTGTGAAAGGAATCCAGTGTTCATGGTTGGGTCTCCTGATTACTATGGAGCATGCAGGAAGAGCTGTAATGTCTGCTCATTGTTGGACTAATGCATAGGAATTTACAGTCTATTTTCATTCTCTCTTTTTGCCCGTTTGTATTTGTAGAAATGTTGAAAGAGTTAGAATTAGAGGTCTCCTGGCTTTTCTCCTTTACATGTTGCAGGTTAATGTTTCATGTTTTAACTCTTTTGGTCTAGAGTGGCTTCATTCCTGGTAGGCTTTCAGTTTGTATATTTAATTCTATATTGTGTAAGCTGTAACTAACAGAATCATACACAGGACTGGGCTGTTATGTTTATACAATTCAATTATTCACAGGACAGAGTAGAAGACAGTCTACAAAAGAAAAAACATTTCTAAAGAAAAATAAGGGTCAAATGTAAACATTTCAAGCTCCAGTATTACAGATCTTTGATAAGGAAATTGGGTTACCTGTTACTCTACTCGTAAGTAATTCAAGTATATTGTTCAGGAAAGATTATCACTTGCCACACTTCTTTCTGCTCATTGAACGCTTTCCCAACAGTAGTATATATCGAATAGAAAACATGAAATCTCATAAACAGTAAGAGTCCATAGAGAAGTATTGATATCATGTCTTAATCCCAGCAAAATGCTGTACAGTGTATCCGACTTTCTCAAACTTGCCCTTTTCACTGTTCTCCCTAAATTTTAGATAATCTGCACAGACAAAAGGTTTATAGAGCCTTGAAGTTTCCTCACCAACGACTTCATGAGGTGCAAATATCACCTTTTCATCTTCAAAACACCAGAAGAAAGCAGTGGAAAATCGATTTGCACATCGTCTTAGAACAACTCTGTGCTCGGATGACCTCAACTTGCCATTGCTCCAAGCTTGCATTAAGTCACCGATATTCACCACAAGGTTGCCATTGCTCGGGTTTATGTCCATCCATTTCCCATCCTTAGACCTCACTTGAAGGCCTCCAATCTCATCCTGATAAACGATGGTTATGCAACTCATGTCGGTGTGCATTCCTAGCCCTTCAACCTCGTCTAATTGCATGCTCTCGGCCTCGGCCTCCCTGGATGATGAGTAATTATTTATTCTGAAGTAACCTTGACAATTGTCGAACTCAGCTGATAGCTTCCTCCCTAAATCAGCAGCAGCTCCCAAACACTCCAGGACGATCTCAATTACCCTTCTGGATAAGTCAGTCATCTTGCTCCCATATTCTTGCAGAACATCACTAGAGATGAACAGACATGGATCAACAGAATGAGCTCCGTCGAACATAATGCGAATTAATGTTAAGCAGTACATGAAAAGAACACTTCATCCACATTTTTAAATCGCTCAAATATTAACACATTCTTTTCATATCATGTACTACATACAAAGTACATGTATTTCAAGTCTTAAATAAACTAGTTAGAGTGAAACGATGATCGTTGAAATTCTGCATGATTACTGCAGAATTAAGTGCTGCTCTCTCTCGTATGCCAAAACACAAAGAAAGGAACTTGATAAAAGGGAAAAAAGCGAAAATAATACACAAGAGGGAGTAATGATCGCTGAAATTCTGCATGATTACTTAAGGATGCTTGCGGTTTCACAAAAGAAAATAAAAGTTACCAAAGGATAAGTTTTGCACGTCAAAATTTGTTTGGCTTACCTGAATTCTGGATTGGGATGATTCAGGAGAGCTTCTGAAGAACTCTGCGCGGAGGCAAAGAAGTCAGGACCAGAAACCCGGAGGGACTCATAAAAAGGGGAGGCAATGAAGTGAGGAGTATACGTTTTTGTTTCCGAGGAAGGACCAGCTTTAAGTTTATCATCAGAAGGCAGCATGAAAATATGATTGCAAAGGAACTGCAACCTCTTGAGGAAGTCAGGGCAAATCCCATGGTTGCTAAGTTGAAAGAAACCCCATTCTTTACAGGCGACAGAGATTGAGGAGAGAGATGATGGGCTTAAGGGCTGCGAAATATCCAAAACAGGAAGTTCTACCGAAGTTTGGGACGCAGGCATGATGTGAAGTGTATGTTTCTTTAGTTGCAGGTTGCTATCTTTCTTAAATAGAGGAAATGTTAGCCCTTGGTGTTTATTATATGTTCTTGGAGAAGTGGAACAATACGAAGAGCACATGGAGTGGAATAAATTTCGTACAAATGGGACAAGTAATTTTTTCGGCATAAAATGATTTCTGAATTGAATAATTCAACTGTGTAATTAAGTTTATCTTCACCATTTGCGCCATAGATGACCAAAAAAATAAAAAATTGCCCATGAAAAGAATGCATAGGCTAAGTACTTCGCAGGATATAACCACGAAGCATCTTTCACTGGCTATGCATAATAAAATTTGATTTTCCAAGTAGGTGAGCCAAGGTCCTGGAACAAGTTATCATGACTCATGAGAGGAATTTTGGGGCTATAACTTTCATCAACAGACAACTCCAATGTCTTAGACCTCAAAAAAAGAAGACAATAAATATGCTATTTGAAGGTTTTGACGTTGCAAATGTTGCTAGTATGGCTTTGACTAAGAGAGAAGGTCAAAGTTCTAACAGCAGATGGGCAGCAGCAGGCAGGAATAGTGGAGGTGTGCTGGTCATCTCCATTTCAGTCAAATCTAGTTTATTCGTACTAATGACTACGTTCTTCACCTTAGATTCTTGAAGTGGAAGTCTCCTCCACTCACTCAAGCCAACAAACATGACAACGAGGTCACTTGAATAAAAATTGGAAGCAGAATATACGCCCCAACCGACTTTCTCATCAGGCTTATATTTCCGGGCTCGATTCAATGAGAAGCTGGGAGGCGTCGGCCTTAAATGATGGCCATATATGTGTTCCATGGAAGGAGATTGCCCTCATGGAAACGCTTTAGTTAGATTTATAGCATAACATATTGATGATGTTTAACTATCTCTATGTTGCAAAATCTATGGGCCTGCAGGGCTGCACACGGTTTATATAATATGAATTCAGACACAAATTTCTTCTCTTGATTAAGGGACGGGCAAACTTTTTGGAGACGCATAGATTGGACCTACGTTCGAGACTTAGATTAGTAAATTTTCGGGACTTGCCTTCCTTGTCACTTCCAACCCTATAAAACAATTCCTGCAACTTCTCTTGTCAATGTTCAAAAACCCACCCCTGAACGTCCATCTGACCCTGCAAATTGCACTAAAATAACCTTCGGTGTGAGCTACAAAAAGTCGTAGAAAATTCTTAGCTGATGATTTGCCGTGGCGTTTGACTTTCCCAGTTCGACCTCTAACAGCAGCAGTTCTTTAAGGATTTTCCATTCTGCAAGCACATGTTTTCTACCGGAAGTCTACCCCTGGCCTCAGGCCACTGAAAGGATCTTTACCTCTAAACCGCTCAAGACACTTGCTTAAAAGACTGGAAAACGAAACCCCCCTTCTTCAATTGGCTAGGGGAAGTTTTCTTTTTTTATAATTCATCTCTGGTCCACGAAATACAGATCATCCTAGTTTGTCAACATGCTCTGTATACCTTTTCTGAGTGGAGATAAAGATTTCATAGAGTCTATCCATGTCGTGAATGACAAACACCAAGATGTTATTGTTGTGATTCAAGGTGGCAAGACAAGGAAGTTAAAAGTCAGCAGCACAATCTGGAGCCAGACAAAATCATTCAGAAACATCCCTGATTTTGATTGGATCCTCTGGAGGGGACCATACAATCACATAAGCTAGCAGCAACATCGTACCAAATTCACAGATGATCTCCCAAAACATTGCATTCTATTATCAGATCATTAAGCATTGCATTCTCTAGACCTCGAAGTAGTCACTCCCTGACTCACACACGTTTCTGTATACATGTATACGGTCATTAAAGACCGATCCCAGTTCCAGAAACTTAGACCAAGCTTGCGTCCCTGAAAAAATGCAGCTATAATTGCTCAAGAAAACTAGTTTAACGCCTGATGCTAGGGCAACATACAATGAATCATCAACAACATCTGGAAGGAATGAGTAATTTACTATTCCACAACATCCCCATTAAACAATCGCCTTTCCTTAACAATTATGAAGTGCGTACATTGTATTTTCCAAGTGCCCAGAAATCTTTTTTCTTTTTCCGGTAACAATGGTTGATCAATAGGAAAAAAGACTTTAAAAGGCTAGTCCTGTTTTCGACAATCAATCGAGATGACATATTGGTGCAAATTTATCTGCAGTACATATTACATATATGACCAGCACATTTCACATTTGTATATAGAGCAGAATCTTAACAAGTCAGGATTACAAGAAAAAGGCAGAGATCAGAGCTCAGTGACGAGAGAAGTAGCGGTGGAGTTGGAATTAGGGCGGGGACGGGGTGACAAGGAGTAGGAAGGGGTGAACTTGTGCAAAGAACAGCCTCTGAAAGCTTCAATTTGGGGTTGGCACTTGAGGTGGTAATCTTCTTTATGCTCCGCCAAGCATTTCTTCAGGGCCTCCACATCACATCCCCCTACATTTCTCTTCACTCCATCGCTGTTATTGCTGTTGTTCTTCCCCTCCATTCTTTTCTTTCTTTTTTTTTTTTATTATTATCCCTTTTCTCACTTGGCCAAACTAAACCCAGTGAACTTCCGATGTAGTATCATGTACGTCACTTCGATCTCCAGTCACCTGGAAAAGTACACACGTGTACGAAAACCACGTGAAAAATGCGAATCATTTTAGATACCTCTGCCCACATTAGCTAAAAACAAAATACAAGTTGGCCACTGCTGGTCCAGCCCATTTTGTCGCTACTCGTTGGCCATTGCAATCCGGCCGTCTTTTGCTTAACAAAATGGGCTGGACCAGATGTGGTTGGTGATGGTTTGATTTTTAAGGCCTGCCCAGCTCAGTACAAGTCTCCGGTAAACGAGTCTGTTAATTTTTTTCAGATTAATCTTATACTAACATTTTATGAGCGTACACACTAAATAAATCGTTTATTTTCTTTTAAATTTTCTAAGGATAAACAATAATGTAGATAGCAGAAACATATAAGAGAAGCCTCCTCTTCGGTCCACAAATATATTAATTCATTTCGTTTCTTTTTTTTTTTTTGAAAAAATACATTTAAACTCTCGAGAGAAGTCAGGATAACACTATATACGATTAGAAGTTTACTTCTTGTATACCTTGGATACCGGATAAAATACCAAAAAGAAGAAAGGAGGTAAAAATATCATCCAATCTCTAAATTCTCTATATTTTTTCTCCTTTTTTTTCAACGTAGAAATTATGTATATAAAAATTGCGAATAGCATCTTATTTACACTTTATTTATACGTATTAATTTGTTTGCATTATCAATATATTTTTTAAGAATTATT